CACCAAGCATACCAGTTTAAAGACTAAAGTCTGTCTGACTCAAGCCATGGTATTTATTTCATACGCATGCAAAAGTTGGACAATGAATAAAGAAGAGTATAAAAAGACTCTATGTCTTTGAATCATGGTGATCATGAAGAATATTGAATATTCTGTGGATTGCCAAAAGAACAAACAAATCTGTCTTGGAGGAAGAGCAATTAGGTTGCTCCTTACAGGCAAAGAAGTTATCAGGAGAAACTATTTCTTGGAAAAGACAATATGCTGGGAAAAGTAGAAGGTCAATGAAAGAGAGGACAACCCTCTACAAGGAATGACTGACAATGGACTTGAACATTCTGGAGATTGTGAGGATGGTACAAGTTGGAGCAAAATTTTTAGCTGTTCTTCACAGGGTCATTTATGAGTCAAACTGGAGTAATTTCATGACTTATAACTACAACTGATTAGTGAAAGCATGTAAATTCATCTTTGGCCAGTCTAATTGTATATTCTAAAAAGGGAAGATTTACCCTACAGAGACGTTGCTGTGTACCATCACATTTGAATCAACACATAGCTGACACTCCAACAAGTTTTCAGAGGCATTTAATAAAACAGGAGGAGACTGCCCAGCCTTTTCCTGTGGAGCACTGTGGATTTGAACTTTGTGCCTTCAGGACTGCAGCACAGCTTCTTTATAATAGGCCACCAGAATTCCTATCTACAGAGTTGTAGGTGTATTGAAATTATACCTTAGTAGAGGGGACAGGGGTTTAGTTTAGGGAAATTCTGAGCTCTACTTAATACCTCTATTAGGAAATTAGTATTTGAATGAACATGTAGACGCACATAGGACTGCTGAGTGGAGAAAAGATTTACATTTGAAGGAAAGAATAAACTCAAGGTAATAACAGCAGAGGGAGAAAAAAAGACTTTGGCTTTAAAAAATTGAAGGAAGTAGCTTGTCTTCAATTTGCCAAGATGGGAAAAGCCAATGCCCATCTAAGGCACTCATTCAAGACTGGCCTAATGGCAAGGAACTGCATTGATGACACAAGACTAGAAGTTTAAAGAAGCCAGCAAGTAGACCATCTGGTACGCTCACTCACGTTGATTATGTGAGTCCATTTAATGAGTTGAAGCAATGAAGAGACACAGTGCAAGCAATGGGAAGATACAATAATGAAGCAGCTAAGTGTGGGCATGTTCCACTGGTTATCTGTTGACCTAGCACAGATGTAAAGGTTAAATGAAGAAGATTGTTAATTTGATGTGTAGTGAGGTCCCCTATGTGAGGGGTTAAGGCTGAGAATGAAGGGGCCAGTTAGTTTGAAATGAAAGAAGAAACATTGTTGTTATATGCTGTCCAGTGGCCTGCAACTCATAGCAACCCTATGTACAACAGCCCCAAACCCTGCTCTATCCCTTGACAATCTTACTGTCTCTGACACGCCTATCCCCATTACCCCTGTGACTGAATCAATCCATTTCATCAAGGGTCTTTCTCTCCTGCACTGTCCCTTCACCCTCCCAAGCATGACGTTCCTCTCCAAGGATTGAGTCCGCCTTGCAACATGTCCAAAGTATTTAAGATGGAGCTTCAGAATCCTTGCCTCCAAGGAGTAGCCTGGCTTCACCCTCTTCAGGACAAACTTGTTTGCTCTCCTAGCAATCCATGGTATATTCAATACTCTTCTCCAGCACAACAGCTCAAAGGCATCAAATCTACTTCTATCATCCCTAGTCATTGTCCAGCTCCCTGATGCAAAGTAAGTAATTGCAAAGACCATCGCCTGTATCAGGCACATCTTAGTCTCCAGCCTGACATCGTTGCTCTTCAGTACTTTGGAGAGGTCCCTTACAGCTGACTTTCCCAATGCAATTTGTCTTTTAATTTCCTGGCTGCTGGTACCAAGAGTGTTGACTGTAGAGCCAAGCATACTTAAGCTGTTAACAACATAGGCCCTTGAATTTGGCTGTTACTACTGGAATGGCTAGGGAAGGGTAGACTAGAACTTGACTGGATTAAAAGAAGATGTATGACATTATGAAGTAGTGTTAATTGCTGTAATTTCAAATGGACTTTGCTTATAAATGCAGATGTTCAAAGTCCCAACTGGAACAGAAGATTCTTTGGAACAAGGAGCGGGCTTAAATCCTTAAGAGTACTGGGCAAGTTAGAAATTGGTTAAGTAAAAAGGTGAAAATAAAGGAATAAAGTATGAAGTACTTGGCTTCCATGCCTCCATGAATGTAATTATTACTCAGATGATCGTGAAGGGATAGTTAATCCTTCAAGTACAGGGGATGGCTAGGTGGTACAGTAGAGAACAGAAAGTTCAAAATGGCTTTCCTAACCATTGGCTCGGATTTTCATCAAAGGGCTGAGTGGAAATATGCCGATAATGTGAATGAGTAAATAACACCTTCCGTGGGAACATGCAAATAGTGTGCGTACACCACTAATGAAGGCATTGTTGAGTTTTGCTACCAGGCTTAAATGGAGCAGGTTCAGCAGCAGAAATCGGGAATATTGTTACTACGAGGAAAAACAAAAAACAGTAGAGAGTGCAGTACATGTACTTTTGGACTGGAGATTCCTTTGTGAGATAGACTGGGGCCTAAACTGTAGCGTAGCAGAAGTAAAAGAACCAATAGAAGATGTAACTGAACCAGGGGCCAATGCGACACAGAATTAAACTGAAACTGCTGCCCGAAGGAGCCAATGACAAGGACCTTTACCCAAGCTTACTGGAAGACTGGGGATTGGCGGTTGTTGTTGTGTGCCATTGAATTGGAACCAACCCATACCTGATCCTCCTGTAGGTTTTCAGAGGCTATTAATCTCAGGGGAAGAGACTGCCCATCCTTCTCCCACAAAGCAGCTGGTGGATTTGAACCACCTTCAGGATAGTAGTACTGCTTCTCACCACTAGGCTACCAGGGCTTCCTGGGGTTTGGGGGTTGACAGAATAATTGGCAAGGCTAAATGACCTGGACAGACTAGGGATGATAGGAGAATTGGTTTCTTTGACCTGTGGTGCTGGAGAAGGATACTGAGCATACCATGGACTGCTAAGAGAACAGGTTCATCCAAGAGAAGGTGAAACCATGCTGCTCCTTGGAGGCAAGGATTCTGAAGCTTTGTCTGACATACTTTGGGCATGTTGTAAGGAGGGATCAGTCCTTGGAGAGGGAAGTCATGTTTGGGAGAGTGAAGTGACAGCACAGGAGAGGAAGACCCTCAATGAGATGGATTCAGTGACTGGGGTAATGGGGGTGGGTATGTTGGAGACAGTGAGATTGGCACAGGACAGAGGAGGGTTTAGGGCTGTTGTACATAGGGTCGCTATAAGTCGCAGGTGACTCAATGGCACATAAAAACAACAACAAAATACATGTGTAACACTGACTTAAAAGAATAAAGCTAAAGATTGGGGACACATTAAGCATGCCTGAGATGCTATCCTGACTGAATAATTTTATCTTGTTTCTACTGGAATTGTAAGCTGTTAACTTCCCTAATAAACTGCAATCATGAGCATGTTCTGTGAGTTAGTTCTTCATACAGACCAAGGAGCAGAGCAGGAGAACCCTTTGAGGGATGGCTGGTCTTACAATGGTGCAGAACTGTGAGGGCACATTTGACCTAAGAATGAATGTGTGTTGTGGATGTGTTTTTGAGAACTGTTCTCCCTTACAGAGTCAGTGATGGTCAGATGCCACTGCCCTCAGACAATTACACTGTTTTTACAAATATGATGATGGCTTAGACCTTCACAGTGGACTGTAAGTGGTGGGATTCTAGATATATTTGTAGTTAAGAGCTAATAGACATTTGGCAGGTCCATAGGATAAGGTGGTGAATGAAAGAAAGATGAAGGTAACTGTAAGATTTGGAGTCATTTATTAAGATAAGACAAAACTCAGAGTGGATGTGGAGAAAAATAAAAAAAAAAATAAATCAAGCATTCTATTTTGGATATGTAACATTTGGGGCCCTATGGACTTCTGAATGGAAATCGAAGTGCTGTACATGAGTCAAGCCTGGAGATCCATGTTTGGCTGTCATTAGTAGATACTTGACACAGAAAGCTAAGAAGAGATCACTGAGGGAAATGAAGGCATAAAAAGTGCTTAGAGATCTACAATATTTGAAGCTCCAAAGATTATAAAAGCTAGATCTAGCAGAGGAGACTGAAATAAAAGAGACAAAAAGAAAAATTAGGTGAGCCTAGCATCCCAGAGGAAGAGTTAACAAAGGCTTTCATGATGAAGGTGACAATAAAAAACTGCCAAACAATAATGATAGGCCAAGTGAGCAGAGAATGGGAAATCAAACACTGGATCTGGCAATCTGGAAGTTACCAGTAACACTGCAGAAGCATCTTCCCTGGCATACTGAGAAGAGTTTACATGGAGTGGAGGAGACGTAATGAAGGGAACATGCTTCAAAGTCCTCTAAAGAAAATTTAGTGTCAGAGTGGATGAATGAAGCAGTGATGGGAAGGGGATGGAAAGTTCAGAGATGGTTTTTATTGTCTGACTAATTTTGTATGATGGGCATGTGGTTTCTTGCACACAGGGAGAAGCCAGCTGCAGGCTGGGACCACAGGCTTTCAGAGCACAAAGGCTGGCAAGCATGTAGACTGGAGGATGGAGCAGCTCTCTTTCAGCTGCTTTTATTTTCTCAGTGAAGGTAAAGGCCACGTTTTAACTGAGGAAAAGGAAAAGGGAAATGGTGTTGGAAACTGAGCAAAGAGGAGAAAGAAAGTGTGAAAAATGGTGGGAGTGCATAAATTCATAAGAGAAATTAGTATTGCCAGGCCACTCCTGAGGGCCCACTAGAGAATTGGTGGTCATAATTTATAATGAGACTAGTCAAAATTATCATTTCCTTACAGCCATTTCAGTTGCTTCAGATCCAACTAAGACTTTTTATCAAGGAGTTTAATACCAAAAAGTAAAGGAGAAGAGCAGTTGATTATGCCAGAAAAATAAAAATGATGAATATTTACCTGGCTTGCGTTCTAAAAGTTGTTGTAAATGAAACACTGCTTGTTCATAGTCTTGTCTTCTGAACATGATATCAGCCATCATCTAAAAATGTAAGAGCTTATTTTAAAAATATTATTCATGTATTTTTAAAAGTTTAATTTCTCATCTTGGAAACCAGAGTAGCATCCACTTCCTAAATAACATGCCTGCAGAAACTCTATGAACTTTGATAAATGTTGATAGTTGTAGAGGGCCTTCAGGCCTTTTGTTCATAGGTTGACTATGAGTCACGCTTGACTCGAAGGCAATCACCAACAACAACATTTTCTTATTAGGATTTAGTAACATGAAAATAAATGTGCAATACATGAAATGGGGCAACACTAAAAGTTCAAGCACATAACAAATTGTGGCTGACTCTGAGAAGAGTCTGACTGTGAGGAGAAGCGTGGCGTTAGGATTGGTGGAAGATCTATCAACAATCTGCGTTATGCAGATGACACAACCCTGCTTGCTGAAGCTGAGGAGGACCTCATGCACTTACTGCAGAGGGTCAAGGACTGCAGCCTTCAGTATGGACTGAGGCTCAATGTCAAGAAGACAAAGATTCTCACCACTGGACCAATCGGTAGCATCAGGATGGATGGCGAAGAGATTGAGATTGTTCACAGCTTCAGTTTGCTTGGCTCCACGGTCAACACTCTTGGCACCAGCAGCCAGGAAATAAAAAAACGTATTGCGATGGGACAGTCTGCGGTTAGGGACCTCTCTAAAGTACTCAAGAGCAACGGTGTCTCTCTGGAGACTAAGGTGCGCCTGATACAGGCCATGGTCTTTGCAATCACTTGTTATGTATCAGAGAGTTGGACAATGACTAGGGAGGACAGAAGGAGAATTGACGCCTTTGAGCTGTGGTGCTGGATGTATTGAAGAGTATTGAATGTTCCATGGACTGCCAAGAAAACAAACAGATCTATCCTAGAGAGGGTTGAACCAAGCAACTCCTTGGAGGCAAGGATTCTGGGGCTTCATCTGACATACTTTGGACATGTTGTAAAGAGAGACAGGTCCTTGGAGAGGGACATCATGCTTGGTAGGGTAGAGGGACAGCGCAGGAGGGGAAGACCCTCTGAGGTGGATTGATTCAGTGATTGGGGTAATCGGGATGGGTGTGTCAGAGGCAATATGGTTGGCACAGGATAGAGCAGGGTTTAGGGCTGTTGTACATAGGGTTGCTATGAGTCGCAAACGACTCAACGGCACATAACAACAACAACACCACCTTCAGATTGGATGGGAGATTGATTTATGTAATAATACAGATAATGTAAAGAAATGAAACAGCTCATTGAAACTACTTGCAAAACTGTGCTTTCCAGCAAAAACTAGAATGGTCATTTTAAAAACAAAAATTTGAAGTGCTTTGCACACTCTAAGTGTTGTCATAAAAAGACAGTCTCACTGACTGTGAGAAGGCTAAAAAGAAAACACAAACTTCTCAAATCATCAACAGCACAAATGAATTTACAATGTGTAAGACCGAGATTTTCTTTGTGTTTTTAGGAAATTTATTTATCTTTTAAATTTTATTACTAATTGTGAATGAACTCCACAAAATGTTGTTCCCATTTGAAAAGATCACTAAAAATACCTCTGAAATGAAATACAAATGAGAAAGAAATGATAGAACACTATTTAAAATACTCTCTCGTAAAATGACACATGAAAATTTGGTCCCAAAGTCCCAATGAAACTCTTTAAATTGGCTCAACATGTCTGAGCAAGCATTTAAAAGTTGATTTTAGCGTTAGTTATAGCTCAGCTGCATGAGCTCCACCTTCAAGGCAAAAATAAACATTAAGAAGGGCCAAGAGAGCAAATAAAGGCCTGAGCTAAGTGTTTCTTTCTGATAAATAAAATGCTAGCGATTTTTGGGTTTTATTGGTAAAATTTACCAGTAACGTTAGAAATACACTATTATCCTAAAAGCCATGCCTCTCTATCACGTAACATTGGAAACTCCTACAGGGAACAGAAAGCAGGGAGGGTGCCTTTCTAGCACTGAAGGTTCCTGTACTAACCATGGTGGCTGCTTCATTGTCCTGGTCACTCTGGAGGAGCATTGCACAGTGCCGCAGGCAGGCATCAGGGTCATCCTGTGCCAGGAATAACCGTGCCAGTTCCAGCATTATCTATAGAGGAAAAAAAGGTAAGAGTAAACAGAAACTGGATTAAAAGTGAAGGAGGAAAATTTCCAAGTACAGTGTAAACATTAGTTAACTAAAGTTACAGAGCTAAAAAAAATGTCAAGTATTATAGGCAGAAAACTAGAAGGTATACCCATTATTTTCTTTCACTGAACTAAATAAGTAAAAGGAAAGCAAGGTGATAACTAGTTTGAAATGTAGACTTGAGACATTGTTAAAAGAAAAAATGTCTTAAACTTAGGAAAATGTACTTTAATCTCTGCTACTTCACGATGAAGTCGAGTTATCTTTAACTGTATACTGTCATCTGAAACTGTATATACCCTTCTAAATGCATGAAGTGGATATCTAAGGTTTTTTTCAAATTTAAAACTAGAATTCCAACTTTTTAGTTAAGAAAAAATAAGGTACCTATTGATTCAATCCTACTAAATATAATTAGTCTATCCTACTATTATTTATCAGAAAGAATTTATCATTTTAAAAATGGATGATCTTAAGTTTTAAATTTAAAAAGGATTGTTTTTAGTGCTTTCCCTTCTGCATTACTTATTTAAGCATTTATCCATTTACTAGAATTTTGAAAAAATAATTGTTTATCAATATCTGAAAGTGTTAATGGCATTTTAGTTTATATAACAGCCTAAAAGTAACTTTTTCTACACCAATATGGTTTTTATTCTTATAATGTGCTATCTGTGGTCAGAAATTCAGTCTCTTTACTTTTGAATCCTGTCACCTAACAATTGAAATACACATATGTACAGCAGTTGTTTAATACACTGAATTTATTCTAGATTCAAATATTTATGTGGAATTAGGAGAAGTGCTTTAAAATTATTAAAACGAGATGAGTATTAAAAACCAAAACCATGCAGATTTATTTATAATGCTTTTATACATAATTTTCCAAAACTTAACATTCTTTTTTTTTAATGTTTCTTGTTTATTTTTTTTATTATTTTTTTGGGGGGGGTGTGAGTGTATACTGTCAGATATGATCTGACTGGTACTGTTATGCCTCGTTATCCAACAAAACATCTGGTGGATTCAAACCGCACACCTCAAAACCTTAACATTCCTAATTCAAGTTTAAGTATTTAAATGGTTTCTAGAAACAATACTAGTTTTTTTTAACTTGTTACATTTCTCTTCAAATCTTTATAAGTAAGAATTTTTCATTTAGGAAAACGATACTATGTGAAATAAAAGGCATTTAAAATTTTATAAAGGCACTGACCTTATTATCTGTTTCACAATGAACAAGAGCCTCTTTATAGAACTTAATTGCTTTATCGTAGTCTCTCTGAGCAACAGAATGTTTTGCAATCTCTCCACAAATTTCAGCTGCTAAGTGTTTCTGTGCAGGGACTGCATCTGGTTGTTCAATTTGGACACGTTTCAGCACACGAGCCTGTAATTCTCGAGCCTAGGGGAGAAAAATAAACATTAAGAAGGAATGCAGAAGAAAAAAATGAGGGAGAAGTTAAACAAGTTTCAATATGTCATACATGACATAATTTTATTTAAGCTTTTAGTATCATCAGCTTGTGATCTAACACACACTAATCAAAAGAGCTCTTGCCGAGCTTTCAAATATGTACTTGTTTCTAATAACGTAACATGTACATATCTTTCTATTTGGAAAAATAATAAAAACCACTACCTGTCAAGTCAATTCTGATTGATAGTGACCTTACAGGACAAGCTAAAACTGTCTACAGTTTCCAGGGTTGTAAGTTTTATGAAAAA